ATGATGTTTTACATTGTGAATTCCAGGTTAACTTTGCCTAACCTAATGGGACTACTAAAAGAGTATGGAGAGCTCTCAAACTTGAAAATAAATCCCTCAAAGTCAGAGATCTTGAACATTACTGTTTCAAAGAATGTGATGCAGACTTTACAAAAAGACTTCCCATTTTCATGGCGGGAGAAGGAATTCGGTTACCTAGGCGTAAAGTTGACTCCTTCTATAAATATATATAGGGTATACTATATAATAAATGAAATAAAGGATGAGCTGAGAAGACTTTTTCAAGGGGAAGGGTCTCTTGGTTTGGTCGTATAAATTTGGTTAAGATGGTGATAGTCCCAGATATTTTTATATAAATTTCACATGCTCCCAGTCCATGTCCCAGGGTCCTTTGGGATAATCAAAAAATTAATATTAAATATATATGGGCTAATAAGAAACTAAGAATTAGGTATGAAGTTCTGTGTAATAAGATGAGGATTAAACCTGCCCAATATTAAGAATTATTACACTGTGGTGATATTGTCACTAATTGTAGATTGGACATATAAATCACAGGGGAAGAGTTTGGTTAAAATAGAAAGTATATTAAGTAACATGTTTAGAAAGGATTTTTTTGGATACCATGAAAGTATCACACTTTGGATGAGACTAGTAGTACATTGACACAGGAGGTATTAAGAGTATGGGATAGAATGCACAACCAAATAGATTTGAAGTATAATTCACTGTTGATTCCCCTGGTGGGTACTGAGTTTTTCCCGCCGGGGAAGGACACTATTTCTGGGAAATGTTTAAAGATGTAGATGCACGTTTGGGGGATATAGTGGCTGAAGTGAAGTTGGGCACTTTTCAAGACTTTATTTGTGGTGTTCGATTAATTGAGATACTATCAATTAAGACACTTTGTTGCAAAGTTGCCTCAACCACTGAGGTTGATGGAGGACATGCTCCCATTTGAAAAGATGTTGGGCCCCAGTACGGCGCAAAAACATGTTGCTTCTGGGATATATAAGATTCTTGTCCAATTGGGGGGGGGGGGGGGCTGGTCCTCTGCTGTTCTTGGAGAAATGGGAAAGGGAACTGGGAACAAAAATGAATGAATCACAGGAAAATATAATGTTTAAATTAATACACGGGGTGGTTAGCATGAATACGGTTGAAATTAATTATGAATGTTTAATGAGGTGGTATTTGACACTGAGTGTTGTACATAAACAAGAAGCAGAGGTTTCACCATTATGTTGGAGGGGATATGGATCAAAGGGGACAATGGCACATATATGGTGGGAATGTCCAAAAATACAGGGGGTTTTGGCAAGATTTAATCTAGTTCATACAGGATATATCGGGGAGAACTATACAGAAGGGTCAATGGGTTTTTGTTTTATAGGACAGAAGAACCAGTGAAGCAGTATAAAAACAGTTTATTATGCCATCTAATTAGTGCAACCAAGGGGCTTATTCCTAAGTTCTGGCAAGTACAGGAGCAGCCAACAATGAGGGACTGGTTAGACAGGGTGGAATACTGTATATAAATAAGATGGAGGAGTTATACCTTTTTATAGATGAAGGTTGTATGGGAAAATTTAGAAAGGAATGGGGAAGATGGTCTGATTTTAAGACCTCTGGAAAATATATGGAAGCAGTAGGAGGCCCAAGGATCAGACTTGAGGTAGGAGAATAAAAGGATTGCTTTGTAAGGCAGTAGCGAAAATAGAAGGGAAAAGAAAGGTTGGAAGGAAAGACAGAATAGTGGAAAAAAAGGGAGAAGGATTGAAAAGAAAGATCATAGGTATAGAATGGAAAGTTGGAAAGAGAAGGGAAGAGTTTTCTATGGACCCGGGTAAATTGTAAGGGGGGAGGTGTGGATGACAAAACTTATTTCTGTGTTTTTGTAATGAAAAAGAAAAAAGTTTAATAAAAGATTTAAATAAAAAACAAGCTGCTGGACTGATATCTGTTCCTGAACAGGTTGCTCATCCCTGGGAGTTTTGTATCAGCTATCCCAGCTCTCATATGGCAGAGGACTTGGGCATTTATTAAAAATTCTACTATTTAACGGTGCAGGTGCTCCACAATTGAACCGAAAGACTCTGGCAGACTTAGTGCAGCTGCTTGTACAGTGTTCTGCCAAAAAGGCCATAGGTGCTCCTAATAACTCCTTAACCATCCATATTGCTCATTTTCTGTTCAAGAGTACTGCCTTTCTGGTAACATTCGAATGCTGAGAGAAGGCTGCCCTGACACAGTAGGTAGGACTGGTAGCCACCTTGCTAACAGATGAGTCACAGAAAACCTAGCATATGTAGTGTATAAGTGCTGTGGCTTATGGCAAGGTCAAGCAGGAAATACTAACATGGCTGGGTGTTACCTGTTTACCCAAATTGGCTTAGCAGCTGGTCCTACCACGTTGAGAAATATGAACAGTCACAGATATTTGTCCTTATTAACTTGACCTTGTCTGAGATGCAGGTAGTTGAGTGGGTAATCGTGGATCACTGTTTTAGGACTACCTAATGCCCACCAGAAATGGGTGAGCCAAGGGGACCCCAAGTTGTTTGATCAACTCGTGAAGCTCTTTGACAGGCACTTCACAGCTGAGTACTTGATTATCTCCCCTGCAAGCTCACAAACTTTTCACCCAAAACCACAACCTCCGCCGGCAACCGGTACGACTGTTCCCGGGGAAGTGAATGGGATGTGGGGGAGACAGGGGAGAACTTCTGGTGTGATGCCTGGAGAATGGCATTTTAAACCAGGGAAGATAGTGCCCATCAGCAGAGCTAACTTTGGCGCATAGTTGCAAACTCTCTATTGACTAATGAGCCTGTGCAGTGAGACATTTCTTTCATTGATAGACAGAAGACCGTATTTGTCACTGCCATGCTCTGCAGTGTTGGTGATTGGGAAAGCATGTGTCCAATATTTAAATGACAAACATGTTGCTGCTTTGCTGGATTTGGGTAGCTTGGTTAATCTGGTGAAGACCAAGGTGATTGTCACTGTGGACTTCCGGGCTAGAAGCATACTGCAGTCTGTATACATAGTGATACTGAAAAGTATCCTATAGAAACCATGAAGTTTGGAATGGCACCTAGTACTGTGACCCATTTGGTTTGAGTTGTGCTGCACTTGTTGCATGATGGAAATTCTGGGTCCATACAGACCTAGTAACAGTATCTTAGAATCTCTTGCATGCACAGAAAATTTGGATTTGGAGGATTCCACTTAGGAGCCCCCAGTTTTAACTTTGTCTTCTGGCACAAGCTGTGTAGACACCTGAAAAGATGGAGTACACCCCAGTATCCTTGTGAGGACCCTCCGATTCTTGAAAAAAAAAACAAAAAACGGCCAGACTTCAGTTGTACATTACAATGTACGTCTGGAGTGTGTTTTAACCTTAAGCCCTACTGAATTCCTGAAGCAAGGAGGAAAGACATATGTGAGGGAGTGAAGGAAGTGCTTGAGTTAGGTCCAATAGTGACTTGTCCAGTCACTTCTAGTCTATTCTAGTCCCAGAACCACGTAGTAGTTTGAGGTTCTGTAACTACTTTAGGAAGCTCAATTCAGTGACAAAATTAGACAACTATCCCATGCCCCATTTGCAGATTTCCCTGAAAAGGTCAAGGAAAAGATTGCATTTTTAGCCCCCCGAAAAGGTCAAGGAAAAAATTGCATTTTTAGCCCCTGTGGAATATTTTCAATGAAACAAAAGATGTTTTCTGCATTACAGAATGCCTCCGCCAGTTCTAGAGGGTCATTGCCAGAACCCTGAGACCCCACCAGCAGTATGCTGCAGTGTACCTGGACAATACAGTGATGCATAGCACTAACGCTGAACATCATTTGCTCCATGTTCAAGATTTAGAGATGCTGTTTGTAAAGTGGGTCTCACTGCAGATCCCAAAAAGTTTGCCATTTGGTTTAGAGAAAGATAATTACTTGGGCTACACTATAGGTTGTGGAGTCCTAAAACTGCAGATAAACAAAAAATAAGCCATCCAATAATGTTCACAAACCAGCAATAGATTACAGTTTTCCTTGGTATAACTGATTACTATGGAAGATTCATCCCAAACTTTGCACTCTTGTAGCCTCATTGACTGACCTTGCCAAAGAAAAAACTTATGGTGAAATGGGCCCCAGAAGCAGGCAGAATATTTTTGTTTTCAAGAGGTCTGTTTGTGCAAAGCTAGTTCTGAACTCTCCACATTTTTCAGGGACTTTGTAGTTCACACAGATTTGAATTGGGTCTGGAGATGGTGTTGCCACAGGCGCAGGAGGAGTCTGAAACTAACTGTTTAACAGTAAAAATATAGGCCTGGTGCAAAAATTGGAAATGCAAATGCCCTGTCATGGGTACATTCCAGTGTGGCAGGTGTTCCAACCTTAGGGTTGAAACAAGTGGAGAGGGTATGTGACAAAGTTGCTTGGAGAGAACCAGTTTGGAGGTTACATTCTGCACAGATTCTCGTCATCCACTTTCTGGACCCTCTGATCCCAGTTTTCCATCTCTCCCTGACAGGAAATATCTAAGCAGGGTGTCATTCACCGTGCAGGACAGACAGTTTCTAAAGAAATTGAGAGAGAATTTTTACACAATAAATCGTGTTAATATTCATTTCAGTTATCCAATTGTGCAGGGAAAATAGGAAAAAGATTTGCTTTTTCTCATCTCTTTAGTATGAGTCTCAATAACTGTGTGATATGAGGGTATGAATGCTTTATTGCATGTATTTATATAGCTCTTGTCCTTATGCAGATATACACATGCAACATCTGCCTGTTTGTATAAACAATATTTGCTTGTGTCAGTGGGTTTGAGCTACGCAAATCTTAGTGAATGAGATTTTGAGATTGCGGGTTAGAAAGAGTTGATAGTCATTGAGCTATATGTATTGTGCTTTATGTAATAAGAGAAACAAATAGGGTTAAAAATAGTATTGTTTCCATTTTTTCATTGTGCATTGTTCATCTCTGACCTTGCTCTCCTGCAGATGATCGATTTATTTTGAAACAGATGCCTCGTCTGGAAGTGCAGTCTTTCCTCGATTTTGCTCCACACTACTTTACTTACATCACAAACGCTGTTCAAATGAAGGTAAATGCAAATTAATGACATCTACTCCAGTATATTGTCATCCCTTGTGTAAAAGGGAGAAATTCAATAAGCAGTGGGTCCACATAATTTTAGCTTTAGCATATTGGTAAACAAAGTCCATATAACATATATTAAGCCCTTGCTGCCTCACTACAGTACATTTACTGAAATGTAATGGGAATACAGAAAGACACAGATGCAATCAGAAATCCACAAGACTCAGCCAGCCAGCCCACACCAGGGCAGATGCAAAAAGGTCAGCAAAAAATGGAGCAGAACTGAGGCTTAAACTGGAGGCTTAAATAGGAAGATCACTTCACATCTGAGCCAACAGCTATTTTTTTTATTAAGGTGTGTCCTGGTTACCTCTGATCAGATCCGTCAAGAGGACTGAGTGTAGGGAGCTGTCACAGATTGGAGTAATACTGCGAGATTGTTTTTACCAGAGTTCTGTTGAGTGCATAGAGGTGAAGGTTTACACAGGAAGAGGTGTCGCAACCGGATTTTGTCACTGGTTCATACATCTATAAAAGATATTGGACTTTTTTCTGTTACATAAATGGTTTACCTGTTTGTTTGGCACTTAACACTTTTTACTTGATTTGGTGTTCATTTATATATGCATGTTATATATGCAAGACATTAAGCACTTAATGCCTGTTGTCTGAGTATGTTCATTTCACTGGATTATTTACATTCATTTTTGGAACATGATTTTATAGAAATTGTTGTTTTTGTGTTATTTGTGTTTATTTAGTATTGGGTTGGTCACCTTTTATAGTACTAACAGCTCTCTAGTCTCCAAGCACTCTCTACACCCCTCTTTTTGTATACTTAATCTATTTGTGCATTAGAGATATGGCACTATACACTTTGTAGGTGTTATTAGATAGGACTGTCTTTACTATTATGTGAAATTAGATCATCTTTAATATTACGACTGACTATCAATTTTAGGACCTATTCATGCAAAATTCCAGAAAATATGAAAGGAACCACAATACTTCCTTTCCTGTCTTTCTCAGCATTTTCTGAAGTCCTAATAAGAACGTACTTTTGCTAGTGCAGAGAAGAGGTAACATGTTTTTTTTTTGTTTTTGTTTTTGTTTTTTTTTTCCACAACAACATATTATAAATAAGTGTTTAATACCAAAATGAAGTATATACATTATGATGAGAACATGTCATTCTAACTGGTTATTTCATAGCTGCCATGGTGACCGTTATGTGCTAGTTACTGTGGCTGCAGAGAATGATGTAGTTTGGTGCCTGGTTAGCCTGATGTTTTTTATTAGCATAGAAAATCAGTTCTCTAGAGGATTTCTGTTCAGATATCTTACAGTATATCTGTATGTTCATGAATAGTAGGTTTTTGCATTACATTATATTTCTGTAATGCTGTTAACACACTTTGTTATTCTTGTAGGTCAAATAAAGACAGCGGACACATCTCCGTAGTGGCCTTTGTATATTTAAATTATGATTCATAATTTAATTTGGTTTTCATTTTGTGTGCAAAGGTTGTTTGCAGTATTGACAGAATAGCAATGATTATGATGAAGTCTCAGAAAGCCCTTTGTGTTTCTTTTGTGGCCGGATTCCCTCTGCTGCTTTATTTTCATTTTTAAATATGGTTTGTTTTGTTAAATATTGTTTAGTATTAACATATAAACCCAGGGCACTTTGATAGAAACTTACTGTAAGAAAATTAGGGGATGACTTGCTCTCCTTTTACAACTCCTTATTTGGGCTTCAAATTACTATTTCCAGAAGTGAATTGCTGGAGATGAAGTGGACAGCTATTGATCTTAGTCAAACATTCTACAAAAAGTACACTGTAGGTTTAGGGAGTTATTTGGTACTGAAGATGTATGTGCAGATTGAGCGCATGCATTTGAGTGCAGATTTATTTTTAAAGGTTTTGCAGAAAGAGGTTGGTAAACCTGTCCTTTGTGGTTTAATGAGGTCAGCTCCACTTATTCTAATACTAGTCAAGTTTCTTGTCTGTGACAGTGAGTACTATGATCTTTCTTTCTCTCCACCCCCAGTTTTGGGCTGCAAGTTATATCCGCACCTCTGTCTTGTGAGCCTAAAAACACAAGTTTGTAACATAAATCCTCCACCCTATTTCCTTAGATGCATCACTCCCTTTCCATTTAATGAGCAGTACTTTTTGAGTCACTGACCTGGAACATGTAAATTAAGAATTCTGATTGAAGTATTTCTTGCTAGTTGTTTGTCAATGACATAGAAAGTATTACTGTCTCTCTCAGTATAGGTTTCCTAACCTACCCCTAAAGCAGAAGTTCACCTTTCAGAGTATGTTACATGTTCCACCTGTATTTAGAATGGAACATGTAACATGTTCCAGGTCCTGCAGCCTCCAGTGTGACAGCGGTTGGGGGATCCTTTCCCTGCATCCGCTGTCACAATTTAAAAAGTGTGGCCTGTGCTGGACATGGCTTCAGCATTCATTCACACTTTCCTGTGAATGGACAGACTACAACTACAGTCAGCCACTAAGGCTGACATCCTTTAGTTTTGAATGATCTGCAAGGGCGCCGATGAGCAATCTGGTAGGTCATTCACAAGCCCTTTGTAACTGACAGCCCATATGCCGGTATGAGCTGAAAGTTACAGGGCTTGTTGCAGAAGCCTTACATTGTACTCCTGATCCACTGATCACGGGTTCAATGCTTTCCAGGCTCCTGCAGGAAAAACTAATAAATGCACGTTTTTTTTTTTCTTGCAAAAATATGTGCACTTGTTTTTCTTAAAAAAAATTAAATTTCTTTAAGAAGCACAAAGTCTACAGACACATAAGTTCTCTCTCTACACTGCTGCCTTTCAAATATAGCTGCTTGATGTACTACAGTCAAAGGGAAAATGAGATAACATAGAGCCATATGTTGGCACTAGCTACTTCAGCATGTTATCTAATTATATTCAGCTAGAGAAGGATAATACTTACGGAATGTGTTTTATAATGTGAGCAAAAAAAAAAAAACTAACCAACCTCACTTATTAAAGTTCCAGAAGGGTTAACTGATGTATCATTTTTAAAAATATATAAATGCAGTATGAGCTCTTGCTTCAGAGTTCGCTGTGCACACTGGGCTTTCTTATAGGAAAACTCGGCACTAGCTCTGCACTTCTTGGTTACACCTGTTGACTAAAGCAATTACGGTACTCTTCATGCTACAAGAATGGAGTTCATCTGACTTGTTTAGCTGTGTAAAAAAACAGAAAAAACGCTAGCACAAAAGGCTGATAGTGTAGTAAGTAGTGATAAAAAAGTTTTGGTTTTAAAATGGTAAAATTTCAAACTCACAAGTGTAGGAGTGGAATCGGGCAGAACCCCAATGTCTGCAATGGCCAGTGCTTGAGAACCGAGCCCCCCCTACCCAGGCCGGTGATAGTGTCTGTGCTGTAAGAACAACTTTGGAGTGTTTAGTCAATTCTAGTGTTCCAACACTAGAATTGACTAATACCTAATTTGTTGGTATCACATTTATGAAAAAAAATTGCGTAAAAGTGCTGTTGAATGCTGAAAGTAGTCACATGCGCAATGATCTTTACCACAATATTAACAAAATAATGGATGGCGTTTTAAAGGGTTAGTACTTCTGTCAGGTACAATATGTCTGTGATCCTACTGGGGAGATTTTCCCTCATTTTTCCTTGGCACCAGGACTCTAATATAGAAAAAAATAATTGTGTCCCCACTGGGGAGATATCACACCTCTCTAATAACCCCTTCAATACTGGGTACTTTTATCCCCTTCCTGCCCAGACCAATTTTCAGCTTTCAGCGCTGTCGCACTTTGAATGACAATTGCGTGGTCATGCAGCACTCTACTCATATTAAATTTTTATCATTTTTTTCACACAAATAGAGCTTTATTTTGCTGGTATCTAATCACCAAGTTTTTTTTTTGCTAAATAAAACAAAAAATCCCTGAAACTTTTGGGAAAAAAAAGGATTTTTTTTGTTTGTTATAAAGGTTTGCAAAATAACGTTTCTTCATAAATTTAGGTCAACATGTATTCTGCTACATTTCGTTGGTGAAAATACACCAATTTGGGGTATATTATTTAGTCTATAGGAAAGTTCACAAACCAAGGTATATATATCTGACAATTGATGAATCCTGATGTACTGATGGCCCATCTCATTTCTTGAGGCCCAAAAATTCCAAGATAGTACAAATACCCCCCAAATCACCCATTTTTGGAAAATAGTTCAAGGTATTTAGTAAGAGGCATGGTGAGTTTTTTTGGAGTTTGTAATTTTTGTTACAATTTTTTGGAAAATGTAGAATGAAAAAAAAATGGTTGTTTTTTTTTCTTAATACATATTATCTCCAGTACAGTGTTGCTATATAATTGGTGTTGGTGATCAGGAACACTGATTGGTGACAGTATGTAAAAAGAAATACAAATGAACAATGTAAATTAAATTATTATTTTATTATACTTTTCCTTTTCTTTCTTTTTTTTTCAACACATTGTGACCAAAGCAATACAATGTTACTATAGTAACATTGAACTACTCTAGGCAAGTGGTCAGGATTTTTTTTTTTTTGTTAACACATTGATTGCTAATACCAGTGTATTTCATTGATATTTGCAATCATTGTTACTGAATGAAACTAATTCATTCAGTCTTTTGTTGTGATTAGCTGTGATTTGGCAAAGCTGATCACATGATACAGATAGGGCTGTGATTGGCCCTATCTGTATCATGTGACTGCTTTGACCAGTCACAGCTAACATAATTGTATACAGTGAATGGCATAACAGGAAGCCATCCATTGTATACAATTGAAATGTGATCTGCTGTGATTGGTCACAGCGGTCACATGACTCTGGTAACGGGCAGGTGTAGTGATTTGTCATCGGCTTTGTCCCGTGGACACAATCAGTGACAGATCCTGCAGCCGCTTGAGCGGCTCGTTTTTGACAGGACGTCATATGATGCCCAGTCACAATAAGGAGTG